TTTTTTTAGCCTATTATTTAATTCAACAAACTTCTGGTAAAATCGGGTCCACGGCGCGGACCAGGTAGGCCGCGGATGCGGACCCGTCTGCGTCCGCCATCCGAGATTGGACCCGCGGACGCATCCGCGGGTGTTTCATAGCCTCCAGGTCCTTAGAAAGCTATCGATTGGGAAGGTGGCGTGCCTTCCATACCACAACGTCGCCGGTGCGTACTTGGTGGATCTCTTCACTGTAATATTCTCGACAAAGAATGTCGCCCTTAGATACCTCGACCATTGATTAGGCCTACCTTCAGTCCACTTAGCCAGGAGGTTCGTAATGGTACTATGTCCTCTCTCCACTGGAGCATTCGCCTGGGGGTGTGCGGCCGTGGTGTAGTTGGCTACTACACCATACCTTGATAGCAGTTCTTGCACTTCCTGGCAGGTAAACTCCGATCCCCTGTCCATTACGAATTCCCTGACGAAAGGGTGACGCAAGTAGTACTCCTCGATACAACTAACCAAGACTGGCCCAGTCTTTGTACGAATGACACGTCCATCTACGAAGCCAGACAGGTTATCGCGCGCATCGAAGATGTAGTTATAGCCCTGGTCCCGAAGCGGCACGAAAAGTAGATCGAGATACACTACAGCCCCCACCCCTCGATGCCCTCCTGCAATGCCATCATGAAGTGCTGTCATGCTTACCTGACGATTCCTACCGCAAACGACTCTCCTGGGATTCCTCACTTCTCTTCTCACGAAAAGATGACCATCTCATGCTAGGTAGCGCTGCATCATCCTCTGAGCCCTATCGCTCGCATCTCTTAGCCGCATTTCGCATGACAGGAGTCCTAATTCCAGGTAGATCCCTTCATACTCCTCTTTACAAAAGGCCTGTTTGATCTCATCCTCTTCAAACTCGTCGTCCTGACTCTCGGGCACCTCGTCCTTATTCCCCGTCGGATTCAACGAACCTGCTTGATCGAGGCTTTCCTGCAGTAGTATGTTGACGAGGAGATACATTCCCCACATCAGTTCCTCATGCCTATCTACCTGGCCTGACCCTTCCTCTGTTGCCCTCATATCTTCTACTAAGTTATGCGATCCAGCCAACGCCAACTTCATCATCCACTGAACATCTTTACCGCCCAAAGGATCCTCTTCCTCGAACGACTTAAGGACTAGCTCCGCGTTCCGTTCATATCCACTCGGCGCTTTCCAGATAGGATGGTCCACACAACTAGGCACTCGCGGCGACCACTTGTTAATATGGAGACGGACATCTTCCTCCTGATCCAAAAATCCGTCAACTGGGGGCGTATTCTCCACTGCTTCTCCCTCTTGACCATCCCTGTTGATACGACTCAGCCGTCTCCCCGGTTCTTGTTTCTAGGGATCCGTTCTAACTCGAAGTTAAACATCCGGATGTACGTCAGCCACCTGACAACTGTCGGATCCGATAGAACGTAATTCCTTAGAGAGTAGGTCAGGGCAGTTGGGTCTACTCTCAGTATAAACCTCATGCCGAAGACGTAGTTCCGAAAGATTCGCAGACAGTGGAGGACGGCAAGGGTCTCCCTTTTGAACTGATAATAGTTCCTCTCGGTCGTACAGAGAGTCCGACTCTCAAATCTCAAAGACTTTTCCTTTCCCTCCATGTCTGCCTGAATTAAAACTCCTCCTAGGGCAGTTGGTCCCGCATCCGTTTTGACAATGAAGGGCCTCGTTTCCGTGGCGTCATAGTCTGGCGCCCTCAACACCAACCCTCCTTTCCGAAACTCTTCCTTCATTATGGCCACCACCTCTTCCTGCTCTTCGCCCCAAACCCACTCCTGATCCTGACGGATTAACTTTCCCACGTGCTCAGTCTTAGTGGCAAAGTTCTTGACGAAGGCCCTCCAAAATCCGCACGTCCCAAGGAAGCTCCAAACATCAGTTATTGAGTGGAATGGAACTGGCCACTCAGTAATCTTGCCCGTCTTCTTTACATCCAGTCGTCGGCCCTGCTCACCGCAGACGAACCCCAAGATAGTAGCTTCCCTCATGCAGTGTCTGGATTTGGCCCCGCTTGCCGTGAGGTTATGCTCCTCGAGCAGGCTCAAGACTTTCTCGAGGTCCTGGATATGCTTCCAGACATAACGTCTTACCCCCGGCAAAACCTCGTCACTCTCCTTCACTGCCGTCCCTTTCACTGTCAAATCATCAATATATGGCTGAGTGATATGTGGGCTGACTGACTGCATAACCCGAATCATGACCCGTTGGACCATCGCTACCGCGTTGGTCCACCCTTGCGGAGCCACATTCATGTGGATCAGTCCTTGAGGCGTATGCATAGCCGTTACCGGCCTATCTGGTGGATAGACTGGAAACTGGTCATATCCTGAATAAAGGTCTATAAGCGAAATTATAGGCCTTCCAACACAGGACTCTGACAGCGCGCCCGCATTGGGCAATCCTCCAGCATCCCGCACAGTCACCGCATTTAGTCTTTGTAGGTCCTGCACCCACCGCAGCGTCCCGTTAGGCTTGATAAAACAGAATCACGGGGACTCATACGGTCCACTCGAATAATCAGCGACATGCGTGCTTATCTTGCCATCGAGGTAATCCACCACCTTCTTCTCCTCGTCAGGATTATGATATCGCACCCCCCCTAAGTTCCAAGGCTCGTGTAGCACGGTATGGATGCGGATCATAGGTATCTTGTCCACATCCAATCTGCCACGCTCCTCGTCGCTAAACGCATAGGCGCGATGCCTCTTCTTCATTAGCTCCACCATCAGGGCTTGTTCCTGAGGCAATAGGAAGTCAGACTCTCCTATGATTAGTTTTTCCTCATTCCCTTCGTTGATACGGCATGACCCTGCTGAGGCTCTCTCCTTCATTCGCCGTATCAGCCCCCGCTCTCGTTCGTAGTACGCTTCCTCGTCCTCAGTAACGAGGACGGGAACTGGGCGACACTTCTGGTCTACCGTCTTGTACCGCCTTTGGGAACCCTGCTTGAGTCGCCCCCTAAAAAAGGCCGACTCACGGATTGCGCCCGCATCAACGCCGGGTTCCTCTTGCCATCCGGAAGACGATATACCAGCTCCAATCTCCTTGGCTCGAGATATTCCAGGACCTGCTCCTCAATGCCTGGATGGCATCCGGATCTGCCATCTCATGTGCGGCTACCAAATCCATGGCCTTTCCCACGTCCGACAAGCTGAGGGAGAATGCTTCAACCCTCTCTTCCTCTTCTGGCTCCGCCCGGAGCCTCCGACGCTCACCCTCCGACTCTTTGATCGTGAAAGACCCTGGATTGGGCCGGTTCCTTATGGTCTTCGGCCACGTATTCCTGCAGGTGATCACCTCATAATTCCCGCAGGCAGGGTCGCATAAGAGGAGGATCAAAGTCCCGTCATGCTTATTGAATATCACGGTTTCCGTTCTGCTAAAAAATGACCTCCAGGAGGATTCCGTGATCCACGCCTGGCATGATGAAGAAGCATGCCCTTGCCTTTACTTTCCCAACCTCGATGAACACATTCGAGGCTGTCCCACAAAACATGGCCCTGCAGCTTGCCCCATGTAGAATGCCACAGTCAGATCGGTCTATATCCAGTCTGAACCTGATGGCATCCGCCTCCCGGATGATATTGATCTCCGCCTCTGTGTCCACCATCGCTGTACACTTGGAGCCCTTCACTACCAAATCCAGTGTGCCGCAGGCCACACACTTCCAATCCATTTTCGAGCCCGACTCTGCCCACTCTGCCTCCTTAGGCAGGATCGTACCCAGATGGACGTTGGGCACCAGTCGTCGCGATAACCTCCTCTTCAATCCATCGCGAAGCTTAGGGGCTGACGCTAGGATTTACTTTAAGGTCATGAGGTTGTTATGTCCTTCCAACAACCTATCGATCACCTTCTCCACGTCGAACCCTTCTTCCAACCGTACCACGTATTTCTTTTTCCTGGGCGGCACGTTGCGCAGGACCGGCTCGGTCTCTTCCCTGGCTTCCCTCTTCTTAGCCCTCAGCTCCGCCCTCAGGTCTTCTTCCTGGCGCAGCCTCTCATCTTCTTCCTCCTCATCATCGTCATACTCCACTTCCACAGCCTCCTTCCTTCTTCCTGACTCAGACTCTCTCCGAGGAGGTTCTTGACTTGCACCGACCTTGGCCTAGCTTCGCGTTCACGCTGCCTGCGCCAGCTGGGTCTGCGGGGTAAGAGGTCCTATCACCGTCCCTGTTCGCGGGCCCGACCCCACTACATTTACTCCGGGTCGCCCAGGCGCTGACTCCGGGCCGGAGTCATAAAGGAACACCTTGGGGATGTTAGACCTCCATTCCCTTACCCCCTCACAGAGTCCACCAACTTCCGTTGGTACCTCCCTATCTTGTTCAGCAGGTCCTCCATTTTTCCCAGCATGGCGGATATAGGCTCCATCTTTTCTTCCTCATTCTCGTCGTTCGACTCGATGATTATGGGTTCTTCCCTCTTACCTCATTTTCGTAGCTCTTGAGTTACTTCCTCATTACTCCCCACTTCCTCTACCCCAATTGGTGGTCCTTCCTTCTCCTGCCATAACCTGAACGTGGCAGGGGGTGGCCGTCCGACTGCCGCTCTTCGTTGGGCTTCCACTCTCACTCCACCAAGCTTCCTGTCAATAAAATCTCCAAACTGGTCATAGATGTTTCCATCCATGGTGGAGGAAATCAACCCGTTCTTCTCATTCTCCTGCCTTATGTTACAGATCTTATAGTGTGGCCTTGCTGGTCGCAATATTGGCAGATGACCGACCTCCAGTTAAAACGGGCTCTTCCATACCCCTGACCCCCTTGATCCCCCTGGCCTTGGTTTCCCTGGCCTTGGCTGTTCCACTGTCCTCCTCGACCACCACCATTCCTGCCTCGCCCCCTTCTGCCACCCCTGCCTCCATTGCCTTGATTGCCTTGACCCTGGTTCCCACTTCCAGCCACGCTCCCTTGCGAACAAGGAGCGGGTGATGGAGGCGGGGCTATAGGTTGGGCCTGGGCTGCAGGATAGACAGGGGGCTGCATACTCGTCTGCGGCCCAGCGTAGGGTATTACCTGTCCAGAGGGTGCCGGCCCTCCCCAAGGTACATAGGTGTTGATCACGGGCCATGGCCACTGTCCGAAAGGTGGTACTGGCGCCTGCGAAGGACCTACACTACTCGAAGGTGCCGACCCACTCGGGGAGGCAGCTACCACCGCTTGGGGCATCTGGCCTCTTCCCGAACCTTGCCCCCCTTGCGTCAAATTGTGCTGCTTACGCTGCACTTTCGAGAGGTGCGGGGGCACCGTCTCCTCTTCTTCCCACCCTTCCTGGGCAGCCTCCTCTATCACGGCCTCCTTGGCCTTTCCCTGTATTATCGCTGCCACCTTTCTCTGTATTACCAAGTCTAACTCTGTTAGTATGTCGGTGATAATTTTTCTTACCCCTGGAGTCCCGGATGTCGTAGCATCCCTCTCCTTTCTCTTTTGTCTTTGCAGCCGTACCTGGTGCTGCTCCACCTGGTCTAGGCTCCCATCTTCCACCCCCTTGTCAATGGTGGTCCAGGTGAGCTTAGTACTCCCTCCTCCATGACCTGTCAACTCCTGGGCCTACGATGCAGTAAGTAGTCCCAGAAAGATGGCACACTGTGTCTCCTCGGAGATCCGGTGGACCTTCCTTGCCCTTTTCTTAAACTCCTGTACGAAGTCCCCTATCGTAGTGAAGTTATCCTTGTTCATTGCTTCCAGGTCACCCGTGGTTAGCAGGCCATCGCCCAGCTTGTACTTCCTTTGCATTCCCTCGCTGAACCTGGCCCAATCGCCGTGGGCGTCGTTGACCACCCTCTGCACCTCCAGATGGTGCCCATAAAGCACATATCTCATGATCCGCTGGAACTTCACTGCATCTGATAGCCCCACCATTGCTTGTTCTACCCGATCCAGCCAGTCTGAGATTCTTTCTCCATCGAAGTGAAAGGTGTCAACCTTAGGGACATTGTTGGGAGTCCTCTCATGCCGGTCAATGGCCGCAATAAGGTCCTTGAGCGTCAGGACCTTCCCGGTGTCATCCGATATACCACCGCTCTCCGGCATCTTGACAGACCTTTCTCTTCAAGTTTCCTATTAGAAGAAAACAAGGACACTCACCTATTCAGCATCCTATCTCAAAAGGGGTCTATCATGTATGCTCTCTCTAACTTCCTCATATACGTATTTGACATGGATTCGGTCGTCCCTCATAGCTTTTCTGGCCCAGGTAGGTAGGCAGGACGGACACACAACGTCACTAAGCCCTCCTCACCTATACTTAGCCACTCATTATTTTTCCTTACTCTCTCGCCATTCCTTTATGCCTATTCCATTTCAATCTTATACCCGAATGTCATTCCACCAGGGACAACGGTAGGCTTTCCATTATCCTCGGCAACGGCGCCAACTGTCGAGCGCATCGGTCCGACACCACACGGGGGCAGCGCGGGACCCTCCCGGCCGCGTCACGCAGGAGTTGGTCTAAATCATCGTCACAAATATATATGGAGCTTCCACAAGCCGTTCCGGCCGAGTGTGCTAGCCATACCTCTCGCGAGCCCATACGACAGGATAGGGCCTACGCGAGGCACGACTTACCTCCATCTTACGGGAGCTGTCACCTCCCTTCGGTGGGCGTATCCCCGCCAAGCTACCAGTCCACAGTACGAAAGCTAATCAGTTGCAATCGCAGAGGTGGACCAGTCGAGGGCGTTTTTCGTTCGCTGTAGCATAGGGGGTACGCGCGGTAATACGCCTATCGGACCCATACGCGAACCGACATCTTGGGGGGCTGAAATCCCAAGCGCAGCTCGTCGTCGGTCGACTAGGATGCATCCCACACACCACGCGCACACCACTTTACGAAACACACACACACACACACACACACACACACACACATACACACACACACACACACACACACACACACAAAACGACACAACACAAACAACACGACAACGCTCATAGTACCCCGGTAGCCAACCCATAACTTTCCAATGCGGAAATCGGATAGGCGTCACGCGCGAGACTCGGTATAAGATCGCGCGGATGCAGGGCCTACTCATATTGACTCGCAATGCAAACGTGCGCAAGCAGTCGCAATGATGGCGTACAATGTAGTGCCCATAATCAAGCGGTCCCTCGGGGATCCGAGTACCGCTTATGACACTCAAGTGTCAGACTCGAAGTGTCGTGAGGGTCTATTCCTTCACAACATTGCACGGCTGAAGGAATAATCGTGCAGCCGCCGCGAGACCTCCGGCCGTTGGTCTGAGCGTCTCGGCAGGCAAGGCAAATAGGCTCTGCACGGGGGTAGGTTCCTTCCCTGCAGAGTCTAGGGCTTGGGAGGTCCTGGACAAGGACCTTGAATCCCGGCCCAGGACCAACGTCCGACCATGAAAATCTCTAAGAAGCAACGGATAAAAGGGGATCTCTCTTTTCTCTCAAACACATAATCTGTTTGACCCTTACACGCGTTCCAAGTAGGCCGCACGAAACACTCGAGACATATATATACACATATATATAGAGGGTTATTAATAGAGGACGATTACTTTTCACAGCCACAATGAGACTCCTCTCAGCCATATACGTATGTAATCGCAGACAGTCACATCCAAAGTCCGAACCACAAACATACCTGCAATCACATCAAAGATCGAGCAAAAGTCCATGCACTACACAGAGTCAACCCCAACCATCTTCGACACTCATACCCCTCGCTTTAGCCATGGAAGCCCCAACCTCCTGTCCAACCAACCTTAATTAAATACTCAGTACCTTTGTTAAATGGCCATTCAATAAAAGTCCGGGTGAAACCTTAATGAAACAATGAAAATTACTACCAGGGCTAAAACCTTTTAGGTTGAGTGTGGAGGGTGAGTTGGAATTGAGTCGTAGATCGACGAATCGGCAACCGACTTGTTATTAGTGATAACAGATGATGCTCTTCAAGGGATCAAGATGAATCTAGTCTGGACCTTGAATCAGACGATCAAAGGAGACCTGTACCATACGACAGGTCAAACCCCGAGCTAAATCGTAAAAGTATGGAGATCAAATCCTCATGACACGTTCTCACTCAAGACTTTCCTAATAGCCAAGTCTAGGTCTGCTTCTAAGCCAGCGCCCCAAAGAAAAGCAGACCTATGGCAGACTCTCCCCCATTCAGAGCGGGTCACCAGAGTCGTCACCTATCAAGATGTAACTATATGTCTTAAACTGAGAAAATTTTGGCAACGCTCCCCGTAGGAAAAGTGTCTTTCCAGAATTTATATAAGTCCACATATGAAAGCAAAAATAATCTCTAACTCTGGTAAGTCAAATTTTGTCTAACTCCCTGATTTAGCAGAAATTTGGGCAGCACTCCCTTTAGAAAGAGAGACTTCTCTTATTTTTGCAGAAATTTCAGCAGCACTCCCTCTAGAAAAGTGTTATTCCAAAATTTATACAAGACTAAGTTCAAAATTTGAAAATAACTTTGACTTCTCGAAGTTCAATTTTGTCTAACTCCGTGAATTAGCAAAAATTTGGGCAGCACTCCGTTTAAAAAATGAGACTTTCCAGATTTTTACTAAGTCGGATATAAAAAAAGATAAAGTTGAACTTTTGACAAGTTAAAATTCGACTAACTCCTTAGATTTGTAAAAATTTCGGCATCGCTTCCCGTAGAGAAAGTAGCTTGCCAAGATTTATACAAAGCCAAGTATAAGAAAAAATATCAGAAAATGCAAGAATTGACCTAAGTAAAAAAAGTTACTACAAAAAATGCAGGAATTGACGCTAACTCCTATGGCTCTAGCACGTGGCGAGCAACTAAAGCAACTACCTATCAATCTTAAACTCAGACTAAGTAGTAACCTCACTCAGTCACATGCAGGTCAAACCACAAAAGTAAGTACTCTCACCATCCCAAAGTGTACYTGAACAAACAATAGTTCATKATTTCTCAATGATTWAACCYTTTAYACCCAGCTTACATAARGCATAGGTCAGRYCGCCTGAACTTACAGRGCGCGCCCAACTTAGCCAGGCCTAGAGTCGGAATACCTAAACTTATAGARCGTTCTKACTTGRCCAAGTAYACACAAACAGAGGRCACAACTACTTTTCTCTTCTTTGGGCACATGACTAGACCATTCTAGYCGCCCTGAACTGTTTAAAGTATCCAAGTTATATATACTTGTCTTCACCTTTGTCTTCTAAGGYTGCATATGACTGAACTAACTTAAGTTCAGTCTSCCCCAGTTTACCACCAATTTTATTCYTAGTTATACTCTCTTCAAGTTGTGATACGACTATAGTCAGACCACCTAAACTTATARAACAGTCTGATTAKCTCGTTCTTAGATAAAATAGTAGTAAGGTATAGCCAAGTTATAACCATTGGGTTCCWRCATGTGCKMKGCTTTGAGCCAGAYCCCCTGAACTTACAGAAGGKTCTAACTCTCTGYCAATTTTCATTTCTCTCTGAATCATCATGTGTGTGRCATCGARTMAGACCCCCTKAACTTACAKAAGGGTCWGCCCTTTGCCAAGATTACTTCTTCAGAATAAAGARMAGGAASGGACARAGCCACCTGAACTTMCAGAACASCTCRGTCCCCTCGTTCAGAAACAAAARAAAACTTAAGAAAACCCAAAGAGAACAAGGCAACKMAGGGCACCAAAACTTATTGAGCGTCCTAAGTCCCTGAAAATCAGGCACAATCAAACCCTTCACAAGTCAGAGCAGTCAAGCCACCTGAACTTACAGAACAGCCKSACCCTCCATGCAAGCYATAGCACTGRGTCTCYCCAAACTTATGGGGACATCCCAGCCTCCAGAGCAATCAGACCCCCTAAACTTATAGAAGGGTCTGACGCTYCATSCATACCAMAATAAACAAAGYASTGGGTCTCCSCAAACTTATGGSGGKYTMCCAGCCTTRATGACCCARTCAAYMATCAAGCAAAACAACCCYCCATCCTGCCTTTCCCCAGATGCAGTTCCTTCTAATAATCTGCTTTCATACAGTCAACAAGGCTGAAATTGAAATTCGAACAGAGATTCCTTTACTTCGTCTTGTTCWGTGTCCTGAAAGTCRAACGAAGAAATGAARTAGGGYTGCACATCATAYATTCASTCAGCGATGCAATAKGAKATACAGATAAGRGTTATAACTKGGTTTATAARGGAAAAACACTSGTTACCTGTCAGTTCCCKGYCTCCAGAACTCCTCCTGAGTTCCGGCAGAGCTCCCGCAATCGGTGGGGCAACCTCCCACAGAGGCCTTGGCGCGGATTACGGGTTGCAATCCCGTCGGCCGCCTTCCTCTCAACACCAGGAGACTAGACTTAGAATCAGAAGGGCAGAAGGAGAAGGATTTTCAGACTCTCCGATCCAAGGATAATGCACTCAGACTCGCGGGAGAGGGCCTCGTAGTCTTTAATGCGTCTGAGGGCCCCGCAATGGCGGCCAACTGACAACTTGGTCAACAAGAGTCCGTCGCTAAACTAGATTGCCGACTTCAATTCTCTAACGACCCCCTGACTCGCCACACTTCCCTCCTTTGCCTGGTCTGATCACCTCCCCCAGCCTTAGCACTTCTCCTCAACCCAAATGCAACCACCCAACAACCCGTCCCAATCCTTAGATGCAACAACAGTGCATAGCCAATTGCAATAGCCGCCGGTAACAATAGTACCCAGTAGTGGTCAACAACAGCAATAACGGTCGTCCGCAACCTCGGTCCTCAGCAGTAGCTTCCAGCGGTGGCTAGTAGCAATAATAGCCGCTCGTGCCCCGCCCGCTGCGGCTCGTCAGCAACAGCCTACCGCAGCTGCGGTCAGCAGCAATGCCCATAGTCAACGGCAGTCACAGTCCACATACCTAGCAGTGACACATAGTGGCATGCAGCAGTATCCTGTAGTATGAGGCGGCCAGTAAGCACAACAGCAGTCAGCCGCACGCCGCCGTTTCGGCACGGTCAACAAGGGTAGCCGCTGGGTACAGTCAACAGTAGTAGCAGCCGCTCCCCGTGGCTGTCAGAAGCAATCAGTAGCAGTCGGCTGCAGCCAGCTATAGTCATCAGCGCCGGTAGATGCGTCAGCGAGCAACAGTTCGGGCACGGTCAATAATGGCAGCAGTCCTGCCTCCCACCAGCTGCACAAAAGATGGCGTCCGACTAGAAGGCACCCCTATACCTCAGTCGGAATGCAGGCAACTGCTCAGCAACATGCTGCAGATCACATCACATAGAGATATCACTTCAACAGGCTTAAGCAACAGGATAGTCACCCTATGCCATTACAACAAACAGCGGTCTATGCCAAGGCTCATGGCAGCTGCGGTACTCACCCAAGTCCGGATCCGTCTTTTATGCAATGCACACACCTTCAAAAGTCGGGATGTGCTGCTTGTAATGCCCCCTTTTTTATACGCTCTACCCATGCGCAGTTTCCAACGAACCTGGCCGGAATCATAGCTGGATTCATACTTGGTGCAGAGCGAAACAAGCTGCGGATTTCGCGACCGGGGCCGACGGTCATCATCATCATTCAGAAGCTCGGCCCCACTGCATGAAAGGTTGCCGCAACTAAGGCAGTACCTGCGTCGTGCTACTCCGACCGAACTTCGATGCATCCGCGGGCAAATATCCTCCCCTTACTCTTACTGTCTCCAAAATGCACCTGGACCCGGCATCGCGTCAGGTTCGCTCACCCAATTCTGTTCCATCTCCGCTAACTTCCCTCGTACGCACAGTTGCTGTTAACCCCTCTCCACGCCCCCTCTCTCAAACTCCTCGCTCGTGCCTTCAATCGCTCGATTCCGAGGAGGATCGAGTGAGTTACACGCCCTTTTGTTCTGCCAGCTTCACTCATCTTGCCATGGCTCCTCGCACCATGTTTTCTTTCTAACTTCCTATTCACTAACCCTCGCTCAAGACTGACATCATCTCCGAATTCGCCCTGCCCTTAAACCATGTCTTCGGCCCTTCCCACACCAAAATTCATTCGGAAACGCCCAAGTTATGCGTTTCCCGCCTCCCCCCTCTTTCACGTCGGCCATAGCTCGACGCACATATTTTTTCTACTAACCGTTGAACTTGCTAACCTACCACTAATTCCGAGCCCGAATTTCGGGTCGCCACCCCTTAAAACCCAAAATAGCTCCTTTGTTCATCGAAAACGGTCGAGAAACGACCGATCAAATTAACTTCATTCGCAACTTCTTCATCATTCGGCCATAGCCCAGGCGCACCATCTTTCTCTCCTACCTCCCATCTCTGCTAACTCTTAACTGAACTGACAACGGTACTAGATTTGCAATGATGGAGAACCCCTATATATCCCTCCCACGCTCGATTCCGACCTGAATCGAGCGGGCCATACTTTTTTGGCTGCGCCCCGGCCATCTCCCCACCACCTCCAACTCCCTTTTTTGCCCGCATGCACCTGGCACGTTTCTGCGCCTACGTTCACTCGCATTTTGCTCGGCTTTCCCAGCTTGCCCTTACCTCCTTCTCGTCACTAGGTTCCGCCATGGCTCCCTCACTCTCAATATGCACCCCACGCAGGAGTCCATCCGCATTCATCCTCTTTTGTCTCACTCTCCCACTCTGCGTCCGTTTCCCTTCTGTCTCCCGGTCCTCACTCTGCGCCCGCTATTAGCGCACGCTTTAGCAGGTTACGGTCCGACGGCGACCTTCGCCTCGGAATGCCCAGCCATCTTGCACCTCCC